GGGTTTGAACCACCAGCCTTCTGGTTAGCAGTCAAGTGCCTTAGGCACTATGCTACCAGAGCTCCCTAAATTCAAGATAAGTTTTTAAAATTCATCTCTTTCTAGTACTTCTGCAACATAGGTTCAATATATAACTATACTAGGTTTCACGATGCCTAATAAATGTTTAGGAGCTCTGGTGGCATAGTGCCTAAGGCATCTGACTACTAACCAGAAGGCTAGTGGTTCAAACCCACCAGCTACTTCTCAGAAGGAAGACTGGGCAAACTACTTCTGTAGAGATACCACCTTGAAAACCTAAGGAGGAGTCGCTATGAATTGGGACCAACTTGACAGCAGTGAGTTTGGTTTTCAGTTAATAAATATTTGATAAGTTTCTTCAAAGATTATATGCTTAGTTGGAGGCTACTTATCTTTAGTTATTTGAATAGCAATCTGACTTTCTCTCTGGAAATCCAGGACCTTTCTTTTTGGACCAAGCTCTTTCTTCTTCCCTTCCACCTAAATCTCAACAGGACCCTCAACAGGAGGCTGTTTTACCCACCAGGCATATCTGGGAATATCTGGAGATATTTTTGGTTCTTACAGCTAAGGAAGAAGGGAATGCTGCTAGCCAACGATGCTGCTAAATATTCTACAATGCACAGGACAGCTCCTTCAACAAATTCTTCCCCAACCCAAAATGTCAATGGTGCCTAGGTTGAAAAACCCTGACCTAGATGTTTTTTATATTTATATTCTTCCATTTTCCCACCAGGTTCAAGTTCAGTGATGGTATTATTCAAAATCTGCAAAAGGTATTTATGAATCAAAAGACAAAAAATAAGAATTTTCATGATGGCACTGTTTTAAGAGCAAAAAATTGAAATGAAATACCTATCAACTGGTAAGTGGATTGTCAAACAATGGAATATTATCCTTGGTGGAAAAGAAACACTGCTACACACAAAAATATGGACCCATCTTAATAAAATAATATTAATAAAAATAGAAAATCCTAGATTATATGTAGCATGATAGCCATTTTATGAAGTTAAAAAACAGCTAAAAGTAAATACTGTTTAGGCGTATATTTAAAGATCATTACTGCTAAATAAAAAGGCAAAGAATAAAACACAAAATTCAGGATGGTAGCTACATTGAATGAGGGTGATAAGAAGTTAGGCAGAAAGAATAAGGGAGCAGATTAAAAGCTATTGTCAGTGTTTTTGTTTTTTTTTTGGATTGGATGATGGGGTCACAGGTGATTGTTATATTAATATGATAAACTAGGACCATACATTGATCAGTGCTGACAGTTTATCATGAGCCAAGGATTATGATCAATCCAACTGTGTTTATCTTAAGTCATTAAGAAAAAACTAAGCTGAACAAAAAGGCTATATGGATGCTAATAATGAATAACAGCAATAAAAGCTAATGTTTATTGAGCTCTGGTGGCGTAGTGCCTAAGGCATTTGACTGCTAACCCAAAGGCTGGAGGTTCAAACTCACCAGCCACTCCTCATAAGGAAGACTGGGCAATGTACTTCTGTAGTGACAGTGCCTCAGAAACCCACGGAGGGATCACTGTGAGTCGGAACTGACTTGACATGAGTGAGTTTGGTTTGGTTTTTGGTAATAGATGCCAGGCTACTGTTCTAAGCTCTTTCTATGGATTAATTCATTCAATCCTCAAAACTACCATATGACCTAGACACTATTACCCACATTTTACAGAAAAGGAAACTGTTAAGTTCCCATTAATTCCCTAACTAGAAAGTAGAACAGGAGGGATTTAAACCCAGGTGGGCTGGCTCTAGAGTGCACACTAGCCCATTTCAGCAGGTGTTTCTACAACTACAAATAAAGAATAGTGGGAATATGTGAACTACTGACCTTCCCTCTCTTTTGTCTTTTCTGACCATTGGCATCTTTTCACTATTTTTTTCTCTTATTTACTTAGTCGATGCCCTTTTATGCTTTTATAACTGTCTTCAGCTATACCGTAACTGGTGTTAGAAAGAAAAGCCTTATGTGCCTGGCTGGAAGGCAATTACACATAATGGTTAGGTCTCCAGAGTTAGATTGCCTGGGTCAACTCCTGGTTCTGCCATTTTTCAGCTCCATAACCTTGAGCAAGTTATGTAACTTCTGTGTGCCTTGTTTTCTCATCTACAAAAAGGGCATATGTAGAAATTATATGATATGGTGGTTATGAGGAATAAATGAGTTACTATACAGAACAACAACAAAAAAGGAGCCCTAGTGGCATAGTGGCTAAAGCACTCAGCTGCTAACAAAAAGGTCAGCAGTTTGATCTTACCATCAGCCACCCTGCACTGCTCTGAATGAGAAAGGGGAGAAAGATGTAGCAGTTGGCTTGCATAAAAACTTACAGTCTTGAAAACCTTATACTATGGCCTACATGTTTGGGCATTCCTACTTCTGTAGTGATACTGCCTCGGAAACCCGAGGAGGGGTAGCTATGAGTCGGGGCCGACTCGATGGCAAACAACAACAACAACAACACATGTTTGCTATCTATCAGAATCAATTAAAGGCAGTGGGCTTCCCCCCCCCCCAAATATGTAAAACAATGCCTAGCAAATAGTAAATCCATAAATGCTGGCTGTAAGTAAGCATTAATAATGCTATAGTCTTTATAGGAGCTCTGGCAGTGTAACATTTAAGGCATTTGACCACTAACCAAAAGTTTGGTGATTCAAACCCACCAGCCACTCCACAGAAGGACCAGGCAATCTGCTTCTATGAAGATTTATAGCCTTTTCCAGTGGGGGTTGCTATGAGTTAGAATCAACTCAATGGCAATGAGTTTGGTCTTTTTTTTTAGTTATAGTCTTTATAGACTTGTCTTCAATTTTGATAATGTGTTCCTAATTCTACCATTCTGTCAGCAGTTTTTACTATACCAAGAGGAGGTAAGGAGTTTTCCCACTCTGCCCTACCTCATATTGCTTCAAACACCTCCAAATGCCTAACTGCTAGAATTTAGAAAGTGCTTCCTTCAGAGGCTACACTTATCCTTCACCCTGGTGCTCCTAGAAAGGATTACACAATATGGAGAATGCCCATAACCACAGCTTTCTAACAGTTAATTAAGACCACTAAAATGCCTCACCCTATAGAATTTAAAGTGCAGCCAGAGTAACTTTTATAAACTTTACGAATCACAATGACAGTTTTCTATCTGACAACCTTATTGCTACTGCACTGGTTACAGAACTTCAGAAAGCTGACTTTCCCTCCCCCACTGAGTAGTGCCTTTATGATCTGGTCCCAACATAACCAACATACACCTTTATCTGGTCCCTCTTACTTTCCTATCTCTCAGACTCCAGGCAGGCCAATCTCTCTGCTGTGCCCCAACATCTCCCACACTTTGACATTTTGGCCTCCTTATTTCTCTTCTCAATCTACTTCCGTAGTGATACCGCCTTCCAAACCCAAGGAGGGGTAAGGTTTGGTTTTGGATTTATTTCTCTTCCAGTTCGATGCGCCTTCAATTTACTCTTCATGAAACATTTCAAACAAAGTCTTCCTTAATCCCTTATGACTTGTTAAATCTTCAGTGTTTCCACGGCACTTTCTACACACTTATGTATACCAAACAAAAAAGTTATAGAAATATTCAACACGTGTTCCAGGCAGGGGCTCTACAAGGAGCAGGGATGCTCGGATTCATCTTGAATCCCCGGCACGCTGCAATGTCTGGTTTGTATTCTGCTCCTAATCAATTTGGCTGCTTGAATGAATGCATGACTGACCGCTAGTCGCCTTAATTCTGCTTTTCAGGCTCGGCCGGGCGAGATTGGGAAGAAGATCCAAAGGCAGTACTTCCCTACCCCAGCCCCATCAGAGCGGGAAAGAGGGACCCCGAGCAAGGTCCCCAGAACAGATCACCGTCCTCGAGAACAAAATAGGAGCTCAATGATTACTGAATAAATGAAACAGGCTGTTTCTTGACGCCCAGTCTCACACCCAAAGCGTCCCGGGAAGCCCGCACAGCCTTTCCGGCAGTACCTGCTGCCCCTCCCCGCCGGACCGCCGCTTCCCGCCACCGCCGACCATTCTCCAGCTGCAACACCAGCTAAACCCAGGGTCCCGCCGCGGCTTCCGAACGCCGCTGACTACTTCCGGGTTCAAGAGCCACCAGCCCGCATTCCCGCGCTGGCTAGGAGGTACTAATTTAGAGAAGACGCCCCGCCCCGCCCCGCCCTTAGAGCCTGAAGAGGAGAACCAGTTGAGGCTCCACCCACTCACCGAGAGTAGGGGAGTGCGTGTGGAGGTGCACCTGTCCGTGATATACACATCTCTGCACGAGCCTACGCAACAGCTGTAAGAACCTCCCAGCGATGCTCCAGAGTTTACCCTGAATTTGAGTCCCTTATGGTGGTCGGAAAGGAGCTCACGTGGCAAAGTGGTTAAGGTATTCACCTGCTAACCAAAAGGTCTGTGGTTCAAACTCACCATCCGCTCCTGGGGAGAAAGATGTGGCAGTCAGCTTTCCTAAAGATTACAGCTTTGGAAACCCGATAGAGAGTCTCTCTGAATAGGAATTGACCCCACCGCAATAAGTTTAAGGTGGTCCAACCTTACTCCTCAGGTGTTTTCTGATGCCCAGACTGGGTATATGGCTCTGCCCACCACCCAGCCCTGTCTTTTTTCTTCCTTCCTTCCGTCCCCACCCCCCTTTTTATTTTGTATTTATTAGAAAGATAATTCTTTCTCTCCTTTTCCTCTTTCCTTCTCGTTTCCCTACTATACTATTGCTATACTACTATATTGCCTAACTAACTCAACCCCAATTATCTCTCAAGTAGACCAGTCTTCTCATTCCTTCTGTGTGCTGTTTCCTTCTTATAATTAAGACTGCTGTCTATACCCTTCCTATGCAAAGGGTAGTCCCTCCACCAGCAGCTTCAGTGTCTTGAGGGAGCTTGTTTCCGAGCCTTTGTGAAGTTCTGTAAGGTCAGTTAGCTTGATTTGAGGTCTTGCCTTCTGAAAGCATCTGGGTTTCAGTTTTCTCTCGTCTGGTAGATAAGTTCATTAGTCCATCTGTTTACAAGTTTCCAAACTTTCATTGAAGGCATTGGTAGTTCACTGGTAGAATTTTCGCTTTCCCTGTGGGAGGCCCAGGTTCAATTCCTGGCCAATGCACTTCATGTGCAGCTACCATTCATCTGTTAGTGGAAGCTTGTGAGTTCTGTGATGCTAAACAGGTTTCAGTGGAGTGTCCAGACTAAGACAGATTAGGAAGAAAGGGCTGGCAATCTCCTTCCAAAAATTTAAAACAAAACAAAACATTGCCATTGAGAGGATTCCGACTCATAGTGACCACCGTTGGTTTTCCAAGGCTGCAAATCTTTATGGAGGTAAATTGGTTCATCTTCCTCTCATGGAGGAGAGCAGATGGTGGGTTTGAACCACCAACCTTCTGGTTAGCAGCCAAATGCCTTACCAGCTGAATGAAAATCCTATGGACCATAATGATCCAATCCACAAGCCGTCATGAATATGGCACAGAACTGGGCAACATTTTGTTCCATTGTACGTGAGTCTGGGTCCGACTCAATGGCAACTAACAACAAAAAAATTTTCGTGGCAGTTTTCCCATTTTTCCACTGTGTGTTCCCTTTCTTCTTGTGAGTATAGGACCTCTCTTCTCTTTTGTATCCCTTTATTATTATTTTAGTGAGGTTTCATAAGGAGGGAAGGAAAGAAAATATTTTCAGTATTCTATCTTAACTCCCTGCAGCACAGTGGTTAAGCATTCAACTGCTAACCAAAAGGTTGACTGTTCAAACCCACCAGGCACTCCACGGGAGAAAGATGTGGCAATCTGTTTCCTGTAATAGAAATTACAACCTTGGAAACCCTATAGGGCAGTCTACTCTGTCCTATAGGATTGCTATGGGCCTGAATAGACTTGACTGCAATGGGTTTTTTGTTTTTTCAGTTGCCAAGTTGGCAACTGAAACTTCATTTACTATCCATTCTCAACTTCACACCTAAACTTAGTTCTGAATAATTGTCCAGATAATTTTGTAACCATCTTAAAGAGAATGCTAGTGAAATTTCCATTTTAGTTCAAATATTAGAATTTAGTATCTTTTTTTTCTTCTGTTCTTTCAACTTGAGAAATGCCAAGCATATTCTTCCCTTTTGGTTTTCTTACTCCAGGTCTTTGCACATTTCCTTATAATAATTGACTTTGTCTTCTCAAGCTGCTCTTTGAAATCTTCTGTTTAGCTCTCTTATCTTGTTGTTTCTTTCATTTGCTATAGCAACTGTCTATTCAAGAGAAAGTTTCAGTCTCTTTGACTCATCCATTTTGATCGTTTCTTTCCTGTCTTTTTAATGACCTTTTGCTTTCTTTATGGATGATATTCTTGATGTCATCCCACAATTCCTCTGGTTTTTGGTTAGTGGTGTTCAGTGCGTCAAATCTATTCCTCAGATGGTCTCTAAATTCAGGTGGGATATAATCAATATATAATATATACATATAATCATATTTTGGCTCTCATGGACTTGGTTTAATTGTCTTCAGCTTCAACTTGAATTTGCATATGAACAATTGACGGTCTGTTCCACAGTCAGCTCCTGGCCTTGTTTTGGCTGAAGATATTGAGCTTTTCCGTCACCTCTTTCTACAGATGTAGTCAATCTGATTCCTGTGTCTTCCATCTGGCAAGGTCCATGTGTATAGCTGGCATTTATGTTGTTGAATAAAGATATTTCCAATGAGTAAGTCATTGATCTTGCAGAATTCTATCATGTGATCTCCAGCATCATTCCTATCACAAGGCTTTATTTTCCAACTACTAGTGATTTTTCTTTGCTTCCAACTTTCTCATTCCAATTACCAGTAATAATCAGTACATCCTGATTGCATGTTTGGTCAATTTCAGACTGCAGATGTTTGTAAAAATCTTCAATTTCTTCATTTCAGGTTTAGTGGTTGGTCCGTAAATGTGAGTAATAATAGTATGAACTGGTCTTCTTTGTAGGAGTATGGATATTATCTTATCACTGACAGCATTGTACTTCAGGATAGATCTTGAAGCATTCTTTTTAATAATGAATGCCACACCATTCCTCAATTTGTCATTTCCTGCATAGTGGAGCATATGACTGTCTGATTCAAATGGTCAAAAACAGTTCATTTCAGCTCACTGATGCCTAAGATATCGATCTTTATGCATTCCATTTCATTTTTGACAACTTCTAATTTTCCTAGGAGCTCTGGTAGCATAGTGCCTAAGGCCCTTGACTGCTCACCAGAAGGCTGGTGGTTCAAACCCACCAGCACTCCTTGGAAGAAAGGTTGGGCAATCCTACTTCCGTAGTGATACTGCCTCATAGTGATACTGTTGGAAACCCAAGGAGGGGTCGTTATGAGTCGGGTCTGACTCGACGCATAGGCATATTAACAACAACAACAACAACAGTTCCCTGTTTAAAATCTCGTAGGTTTAAATTTTAGGAGCTCTGGTAGCATAGTGGCTAAAGCACTTGACTGCTAACCAGAAGGCTGGCGGTTCAAACCCACCAGCCACTCCTCGGAAGGAAGGTTGGGCAATCCTACTTCCGTAGTGATACTGCCTCGGAAACCCAAGGAGGGGTCGCTATGAGTCGGGGCCGACTCGACGGCACATAACAACAACAACAACAATTTTCCTACATTCATACTTCATGAATTCTGTGTTCCAGTTATTAACGGACATTTACAGGTATTTCTTCCCATTTTGAGTCATGACATTTCCTCAAATGGAGGGCCCAGAAACTTTACTCCATCCACGTCATTAAGGCTGGCTCTATTTTGAGGAGGCAGCTCTTCCGCAGTCATGTTTTGAGTGCCTTCTGACCTGAGGGGCTCATCTTCTGGCACTGTTGTTACTAGTGCCGCTCTGACAAAAGTATACCACAAATGGGATGGCCTTAACAAACAGAAGTTTATTCTCTTACAATTTGGAGACTTTAAGTCCAAGTTCAAAGTGCCATACTCTAGGGGCTGGGTGAAAGCCCCTCGACCTTGGGCTTCAGCTCTGCTCCAGCTCTTGGCCCACTGAAGCTAGAATCATCTTTTCACTCAGGCAATACTGGCTGCTGAGGCTAACAAGCCCAAGGATGACAAGTAAAAAGGCACAGTCCCTATGTTACCAAACCACGTGGTAGGCCATTAATTTAAGTCCATTGTAAGTCTCAAGGTCTGCAGAGCATGGCAGGCTGCTGAACAACGACACAGCTACATGCAGGGTTCAAGGTGCCATAAGCGAGAGACCATTCTCCAAAGCGTCTGCTTATATACAGGAAGCAGACCACATTCCCTAAGGCAGCTACTCAGCTGCTCACAGTAGATTCCACCATGGAGGTGATTACCAGTCTCATCATGGGGAATAACTACATCCAGCTGCCCAGCCACTCAACCAGGCCCAGCCAAGTTGACACACAAACTGAACTACCACAGGCACTCTATCAGACAATGCTTCAAGGCTATTCATAAAGTTTTCTAGTAATATACTGGGCAGTGTTTCACTGCTATTCCTAAGGTTTTCACTGGCAAGTTCTTTGAAAAGTGGATGGCCCCTTCCTTCTTCCAAGCCTGTCTTAGTCTGGAAGCTCTGCTGAAACCTGTCCACCATGGGTGACCCTGCTGGTGTTTGAAATACCGGTGGCATAGCCTCCAGCTTCATAGCAATATGCAAGCCACCATATCATGACAAACTGACAGACCAGTATCAGATATTGATATTAGTATTTGATAATATAATATTTACTATACAAGTACTTCTCTTACTGCTTTATAGTAAATTTATTTAATTATCATAACAATTCTATGAGGTAATTACAATCTAAATTTATCCCATTTTACAGATGAAGCAGTTAAAACCAAGAGAGTTTGAGATGTCCAAGGCCAAACAGTAAGTAAGTGTTGGCGGTAGGATTCAAACCTAGTTAATCAGGTTCCAGAGTATTCTCTGTACTCTGTAGTAGTGTTTCTAAACTGATGAGTGGAGTTTACAGAACTATATAATTGCATTGGAAAAAGACTATAGTTCAGAGAGCCACTTGCCCTTATTGTCCTATTTTAATTAACTTAAAACTAGTCATATCTAAAAGATGT